TTGCCCCATCCTGTCCTGATCGTTGCAGTGCTCAGTCGCCGTCTCGCCCTGTCTCGTCGTCGCGAAGGCGATCGCAGCCCCAGGGGCGCCGTGCCGCGAGTCCTGCCACTTGCGACCCCATGTTGTGATCCGCGCGGCCAGGTGGTAGATCTGGCATTGTCCTGGCTCGGGCGGCCGCGCCCGCCTCCGCTGCGCCCCGACCGCCTAATTGCACTGAAATCTGGAGGTGTCCGGCAGGACCCAAGTGGCCCATCATGATTTGCTGTGCTGTTCTGTCGATGTAGCCCCCAAGGCGAGGGACTGGGGTGGGTCGCCCAGTTGAGGATCGGTGCTGGAGTACCTATGCTTCTATCGGACTGTGGGCTGATTCGGCCGAGTGTACGCCCATGTCGTTTCGTTCCAGTCTTCAACAGCGGCGCCGAGCGCGCGCGCGGCCAGGTTCATCCTCTGGAAAGTCTGCGCAAGATGCGCCGCAGCCGCCGTAGCAGAGCCCCAGATGTAGGTGACCAGGATGGCGCTCCAGCGGTAACGAGGGGGGAGGGTCGCCGCGGCGATCCTTCGCCTGACGGCGCGCACCTCGTCTGCGAAGTTCCTGAGGCGATCTCTCTCTGCTCTGGAGAGCGGGCGAGCAAATTCCGTTCGTGCTTGAGCAGGCGGTGATTGTTGGTGTGCCACCCCTGGCATGCTGCCCGGTATCTGCGCAGGGATTCTCGACGTCCACCATTTCGTCGTCGCTTGGTCGCCGTGTCCTGTCGTTGCGTCGCTGCCCGATGATTGCGCGCCCTGCGACGCCGCCAATTCCATCGTCCCCATTGAGCCTGGTACTCAGGAGCAGTCCGTCATCGCCAACCATGACAGCGAACCCCAGGAGCGCGCGTCGGGCCGGTTCGTTCTCGTCTGAAGTCATGCCTCGGTCGACCTCGTGTGCGTCGGCGTGCAAGTGGACCTCTGCGGGGACTGCCTGCGCGACGTGAATGCCGATGTTGCGTTGGAGCCACGCAGCGCGGCCTGCCACGAGTCCCAGCTCGAGGAGTCGCGCGGTCCGGCCCCGAGAGCGAAGACCCCCGGACCCGGGGACTAATGTGCGAAGTGATCCGAGTGGCCGCGGTGGCAGGCGGCAGCCGCCCGGCAAGGGTGCCCCCCGTCTCAGCCGCGCGAATTTCAGTGCGCAGCGTCTCGCATGTTTGACTCGCCCATGCTACAGGGGCGGCGCATATCCGGGCGGGCGTCTCAATAGCGCGCGCTAGGTGCATGTCAGCGGGATTGGAGTGCGTAGAGATGCCGGGCCTTTCGCTGAGATGCGTCCAGACTTCGCAGACGAGCCACGTTGTGGAGTAGTCGACCGCGTGGTCCACGCTGTCGCGCAGATGGCACGTGGCAGGAGCGAACCTCTGCGCTGCGCGCTCAGCACTTGATCCCCCAGGAGGTCGACAAGGGGGCGACGGAGGGCCGATAGGGGAGCGTCCGTCTGTCCGCTATGGAACTGCCGGGCGGACGGACGCGGGGCACTGTCCTGCCCATGGCTCCCGCAGGAGCCAAGATCCGCAGAGACCGCAACTGGCGTTGGGTTTGAACCTGCGGTCCAAGTCGGGGCATGCCCCGACGTCGTCCCAAGGCCAGGCACGCTCTTGATCAACCCGTTCATTCGCGCGTACCGGATCCGCTCCAAGGGCAGGGGCGGGACCCTCTGCTGTCGTCCATCTTGGTTGCTGTACAGCTCCAAAGAGATCAGAAGTTACTGGGCGGTTCATGGCGCGGGCGCTGACGGCGCCAGGGGGGCCATCTTGCGCGCGGTAGCGCCTTGCCCGATGCAGGAGCTCGTCGTGCCTGGGCTAGCGAATGGCAGACTGTCTGCGCTCGCGCACTAAGAGACCCCGCAGTTTGCGAAGTGGCTGGACAGAGCCGCCGGGTCGGTCGCCGGGGTTTGCCGGCGCCAGCAATGGTGCTAAGGGGCCTTCGGCGCCAGAGGGGGGACTTGCAGGGTCGTTCCCGGAGAAGACGCCCATGCAACAGTAGAGGGCCGCTTCCTGCATGAGAAGGAACTCTTTGCAGCGGGCTGCGGTCTTCTCGACGGGGTTGGGGGCGCCGCGGTCCAACGACTGGGCCTGCTCGCCCTCGCACATGTCCGCTAGCGCGGCACGCCTCATGGCAAGTGTCTGTGATGGGCGCGGTCTCAAATCCCCTGGTCTGCCCTCGCCGGCCTCTTCATTCGCCGACCGCGCCAGTCCTGTCAGGTCCATGATCGCGAGGGCGTTGGCGCGGAACTCAAGTGGGGTCGCGCGGGGCGGCAGGAGTAGCACAGGGAGATGCGGCGTCGTTGGGGCGCCCGCCTGCCGCGGCCCAAGGCGGCCTTCGGGATGCCGTTCCCAGGCAAAGTGCATCATCAGCTGGAGTCGCAAGGTGGCGTCGAAGGCACGCGGATGTGGCCCCGCGCCGTTTGTCCAAAGCCCGCGCGGCGCTGGATGGGCCCTCCACGAGGCCCTCGATCGCGGGCCCTCCGCGCGGCCCGCGTCGGAGCCAACTGGTTGGGCCATGTCTGGGGCCGGCGGGGAGATGGGCGTCGAGGGCTGGCGGCGCGCTGTCAGGCGCGCCGCTGCGTCGCGCGTCGGACGCGGCGAGGCGGGGGGGGGATCGGGGCAGAGGAAGCGAGGGGGGAGCAGGTCAGCTGAGGGAACTTCCCGATCTCGACCCGGTCGCGACGCAGATCTGGCCCGATCGCGGACGGGCCGGCCCGTTGCTGCTCCGCCGCCCTCTCGCGTCGGAGGCCGAGCGTGCGCCCCCCTTCTGATCATTCCCGCCATCCTCCACCAAGTGTTCCCCGAAGGGTTTCCACAACGGTTGGGGGACAATATGGTCCGATAGCTTGGCAGAGCCTTTGCCACAACGCTCGGCCGCATGGACGATTTCAAAAGGCAGGGGGCGGCGGTGATTCGACGTAAGCGTCTTCGATAGAATGGCATTCGGTCCATCCCGGCACCGTGCCTGGCTTGCGGGCTATAGGCTAGGCTTCTAGGATGATCGTTGGGATGTCGCGGGAGGCCTCTCGGAGGCAGTCTTGAAGCCTCCTGAGGGCTGTTTTGAAGCCTCTTGGGCGTCTTGAATATTCTTGGGGGCCTCTTGGGTCTGGGGCCCCCTGGGGGCCTCTTCGAGCCTCCTGGGGGCATCTTGGGACGGGAAGGCTCGAATTGTCGAACAAGGCTCCCGCTCTTGGGCCTCTCTTGGGGCCGTCTTGAAACCCTTTCTGGGCGACTCTTGGGCCGTCTTGGGGCCCCCTTGGGCCGTCTTGGGTCCCTCGAAGGAGCCTTTTGGGCCGTCTGGGGGGCGGTCTTTGGACGTCTTTGAACGTCGGAAGCTCTGAAAGTCTAGACCCCCAAAACATTGAAACACCAAATGAAAACAAATGATTGCTGGAGCTCTTGGAGGCCTCTGGGGCCGTCTTGAAGCTATCGGGGGCCTTCCAGGAGCCATGCGGGGCACCTTGAAGCCTCCTGGTGTCTCTTTGCACCAGCTAAGGCCACCTCTGCGCGCCCTCGGATGCCGCCAGGGACTCACCGCGAGGCGCTGAGCGCCCCCCCGGGCCCCTTGGGCAAGATTGAACGCGGGAGGAGGGAACAAATAATGTGCTGACGATGAGCCTGAGGACCTGACGCGGCATATTATATCATATATACACACACGTAGGTTCAAGACACACATCGGCACACGTACCGCACACAGAAACACCCACACACAAACACACACACACAAACACATGCAAGGACGCACACACACACACGCGCATACGAACACGCAAACATACACACACACGCATACGCACACACACATACGCACACACATACTCACACGCACGCACCCACCTACACACATGCACCCATCGACAGGCACCCACCCACCCACCCACACACACACACGCACACAAACACACAAACCCAAATATAGACACAAACACACACACACACATACACAAACACGCGCACACACACACACACACACACACCCGCGCATTGTTGGGCGTCGCGTCCCCGCGCGTGACGACGGGGCGGAGTAAGTCGAAAGCGGTGGAAGCAGGCGCGCGTGGCCAGGACACACGCGCACACACACACACACACACACACGCGCGCACACACGCACACACACACACAGGCACACGCACGCACGCACACGCACACACACATACAAATACGAATACACACAAACACACGCACACGCACGCATACACACGCAAACACACACACAAACACACGCACACACACAACGCATGCACACACGCACGCGCACGAACACGCACACGTTCACGCACACACACACACACACACAAACACACGCACACACAAACACACGCATACACACAAATTTTGGCGGTCGCGGCCTCACGGGCGGCTACGAGGCGGCCGGGCCCGCACCCACAAGCACACACACACACACGCACGCCCACGCACACGCACGCACATATTGTTGGGCGTCGCGTCCCCGAGCGCGCCGACGGGGCGTAGAAACTCGAGGGCAAGCAACGTAACGCGAGCGTCCACGCCCGGCCGATCTCAAACACGCACACACACACACACACTCCAGCACACACGCACATATACATACACAAACACACACAACCACACTCACACGCACACGCATGGGCTCACACACACACACACATCCGCACACGCACACACACACATGCGCACGCACACAAACACACGCACACACACACACTTCCACACACACAACATCCACACACGCGCGCACACATACACACACACACACACACGCACGCACACGCACGCACGGACGCGCGTACGCACGCACGTGCGTTCACGCGCACGCGCGCACACAAACACACAGACACTCACACACGCACACATACACACACGCACGCACCCACAGACACACACACACACACACACACAAGCGCGCACAAACACACACACACACGCACGAAACACGAGAACGTTCCCTCGGAAGCTCGATGTATGTAACTGTTCTGATGGCAGTGGCGAGGCTGAGGCTGTCCTCCACCACTTCGATCCGCTGGCGGCAATCGTCGTCGCTGAAGAAGCTGACCTTAAAGCTGGTGGGCAACAGGGAGCGGGTACCCTGCCAACTACCATTGTCCCGCCACCTCATCGTCCGTGTTCTTCCCTTTCGTCATCCTCCTCTCTTCTCGCCTTCCGTCGTCCGATCTCCATCATCCTCACCTCCTTCTGGTCCGACCTCCTCCTGCTCCTCCCTTACTGTCTCCACCTCGATCACTCCACCCCTTTCCCCTGCTCCTGCAGCTCCACTTCCTGATCCCGCTTCTCCTGAGTCATGCGAACGCAACGTTCTCCGTCCTGCTGTTTCTGCTCCATCCTGATCAGCACAAGTCTCACATTACGACCCCTCATACTCATTATTATGCCCTTTTTCGTGCTGTCATCCCTGCGCCCTCCCTTCCACCTCCCTCCACCCCTGCTCCCCCAGTCCCTCCCACCTCCACCCCTTCGCAGATTCACCTATTCATTGTCACACTCATGATCCATACGATCATGATCCCCGCATTCCTCCTCCTCCTCCTCCTCCTCTTCCTCTTCGTCGTCCTCCTCCTCCACCTCCGTTCTCCTCCTCGTCTCGTCGTCCCCCGCTTCCCTACTCGTCTCCCCTCGCTTCTTCTCGCCCTCCTCTTCGATCCTCCACCACCTGCTGCTCCCTGGCTTCCTCCGCCTACCCCTCCCCCGCCCATCGACCTGATCCGCCTGCTCCGTTTCCACACGCTCCGCCTTCTCCGCCGCCACCACAAACTGTTGCTCGCCCGATCGCTCGCACGGTGCGTGCTAGCCGCGTGCGGGCCCCCGCGCCTCGGCAATGACCCATTCCCCGTGGACGGTGGCGTTGTTGATGACACGCCACTCCTCGGCACCTTGCACGAAAGGCCGAACGAAGAAGGGGCCTCTGTCGAGAGGCTCGCCGCGAGGTGACCGGTTGGAACCCAGGGGGGAAAGCACTGGCTGGGGGGAGGCTACCCTTACCTTTCTCAGGCGTCGGCGGCGGCAAACGAGGCTTGCACGCCAGTCAGTGACCACTCCCACTGCCACAACATGGTGGAGAGGAAGAAGAGGTGGGGAGGATACAATTGCCCTTTAGAGATTCCACATGCCAATTGGACCCATGTGGAAAGTGTAACGCACCTGCCACCGGAGTGGAAGTCCTACAAGCACATAGCGAAAAATAACGGTGCTCATTAGGAGGAAGGGGTGGACTCGCGTAAAACACGAGGAGAAGGGGCCATTTTGGACTGGCAGAAAATGCCACTCCGCTGAACACCCCATGAGCGCAAGCCAGCGGCGACACTGTGATTGTGTACGCGCGTGTGGGCGAGCTCTCACCGGAATCCGCGTGAGACACTACTTCGCTGGACCTCCGAGGAACGCACGGGAATTGTGACAACAATGCGCTTTCTGGCAAGACCCGGTGGGTCGATGTCCCTCCACTCCTCTGAACGCCCCAAGAGCGCAACGCGGCGACGACCATGCGCCTGGCAATCGTCCCGATCAGCGTAAGACACCAAGCCGCTGGACCAATCCGCTGGACCTGTGCAGTTCGCAGCAGCCAACAAAACGAAGTCCATACAGATCTCCAGAAGACACTCAAAACTTTGCTGGATATCCTGGGGGAAGCCGGCGCTGCTGGAGTCCGTCTGAAGACGCGGAGAGGGAGGAGAGATGGACAACATTGGAGGTGGCGGGTCCCACAAGCCATGCAGAGAGCGAGAGAGAGAGAGAGAGCCAACGGGCACCTCCCACAACAGGCGAGCCCGTCGCCGCAATGGCGAACACCTCACTGGAAGGGTTTCCGCAACACGCACCCTCTACTCCCTGATGCTACTCCTCCTCCTCCTGGTCCTCCTCCTCCCCATCGTCCTCTTGGTCCTCCTCCTCCTCCGCCACCTCCTCCTCCTCCTCCTCTTCCTCCTTTTCCTCATCGCATTCCTCTCAGCTCCTGTATTTCCATCGTCTTCCACATCTGGATGCAATTGCTTGTGTTTTTCCTCCTCCTCCTCAACATGTCTCATCTTGCTGCTCTTCCCACTCCAACTCCTGTCTCCTCATGTTCATCCTCCTCCCCGCACTCCTCTTCCTTCCTAAGTCGTCACCGTCGTCATTGTCCCTTGAACTCGCCATCGTCCTTCCTCTCCATCTCCAACGGGGTAGCGGGGCAGGACAAGCGGCAGGTCCAGGAAGGAAGCAAGGAGGATACCTCAGGGACTAACAACGGAAAAGCAGGTTGAAGGAGGCTGAACGTTGAAGAGCCCAGGCTGAGAGTCCCTATAGGGAAGGATTTTTCGCACGTGCAAAGAGGAGAAACGCAAATTCACAATGGGAATTTCACAGCGACCGCCGCCGCATAGCGCCGTCGTGAGGGTTCGGTTGACAACAACTTTCCGGATCGCAACACCCAAGCCGATCAGCGTGGCATGCACTGATCGCATGGCCTGCCCTGGAGGCGTTACTCCGAATACCTAGACACTTGGGCACCGAAGACAGCCTCAAACATGGTTCAGCATAGCCCAAGATGGATGATCTCCAACGTGCTTCCAAGAAACCACGACCATCCCAAGACGGCTCCAAATGGCCACGGACCAGAGAGGCCTAAATACTTCCAACGCCGTGTGGTTTTCAATTTCCAATATGCGTTTCCTTGTACCCTTTCCGCTTCCGATGGGCTTCTGAGACCTTTATATAGCCCCACGATATCCTCAGAGAGCTCCTGGAGGGGTCACCCATCGCAAACAACCGCTTTGCATGATTTGGCCCTTGTTACCAACAGCAACCGTGGACACAAATATCTAAACAACGCCAAATACGAGGGCGGTCGCGACAGCGGCTCAACCACACAAATCCTGAAACGTCGTGCCTGGCAACCTCGGCAACCCAATGCCGTCGATCCTAACACCGTGCCCCGAAAATGTTCTCTCGCACCAGAGAAAGATACGTGACAGCCCATGGGTGTCGAGACGCCCCCCCCCCCTCAGCACCGGTTCTTCCGTGCAGCCAAGGGCGCCAAGAGCCTCCAGAGGTGGAGAACTCCCAGATGGAGTCCGCGTGCAGTACGAGCTCGACCATCAGAACCCTTCCACAAGAAACCCAACCCTGAGACTCCAGGACGTCCATTGGTTTTTGGTGTAGGGACGTCAGGCTTTCCATAGCAAAACCATCGAAACCCAAGAAGCCCAGGGCACCCTGGAGGCAAGCAGGGTGTTTCTTGGCATGCTTGGGTTTTATACTGTAGATGGGGTCGGAAGATCACGCCGCATCGCCGATACATGGTCGATGCATAGGCAATGCATCTGCGCCGTCGGCGCGGAGAAAGTCGGGCTCCGCATCGAGCCGCATCGCCGATGCATCTCGATGCGGCGCGAGCCTCCGACCCCATCTAGTCGCTCGCACCCCATTTGGGATGTGGGAGGCCTAGAAAGAGGTTCCTAAGGGCCACCTCACAACTTCGTAGCCAAATGTTCACCTCGATTCGCTAAGGCGAACAACATGCAGCATAAACACCACTTCTTGGAGCTCTGCGCGGAGTTCTTGGATCTGCGCTGGAGCCCCCCTCCCTGGCGCGCGGACCAAGGGCGGCGCCGCAAGTGGGCTCAAAAGCACCGATACGAAAAATCCGCGCGGAGCTCCGAGGGGTGGCGTTTGTACCGTTTCTTGTTACTCGATCGCTGCGCCCTGGCTCAGGGATCTTTTGATGCGAATCAATCCAGGCCCGGGTCAGTCAGGCCTTGCAGGATCCTGCAAGATCCTGCAGGATCCTGCAGGATCCTGTACCCAAACCCGGGTCAGTGCGCCCCTGGTCCTGCAAAATCCTGCAAGATCCGGCGCTCTGGCTGACCCCCGTGTGCATTGACCCCCGCCTCTTGAGCCCCAACCGGCTCTGGAACGGTCAGGGACGGTGTCGGCCGCGACGGCCGCAGCTACAGCGAGCAGAAGCGGCGCGCGGGCCGGGACGGCCAGGTGCGGCGCCACGGCGGCTGCGGCCGCTGGCCGCCGCGGCAGCGAAGCCTGCAGCGCTGGCCTCCCGCGCGGCGGAAGCGGGACTCCACGCCCCTGGCGAGCTCGTCTCGCAACGCGCCCCGAGATTCTGTCCTCGCTGCTGGGCTCCCCGGAGCCCTCCACGGGCCCCCGGGGCTGACAGAAGGCACCTCGGGATGAAGCGCTGGTCCTGGGAGAAAGCCCTGGGGTCCACGATCCGCTTCCCTAGAGGCCTCCTAGATGGGGTCCGAGTAGATGGGGTCGAAAGATCGCGCCGCATCGCCAATGCATCGCCGATATATCGGCGATGCATCAGCGATGCACTGCCACGTCGGCGATGCATCGGCGACGTGGGCGTGGATAAAATCGGGCTCCGCATCGAGCCGCATCGCCGATGCATCGGCGATGCGGCGCAATCCTCCGACACCATCTACTCCAAGGGCTCCCAACTTCGCGAAGTGCGAATAACTTCGCGCTCTCGCGCCGCCTCCCAGGGGAGAAGAGGAGGATGAGGGATCGGAGCCGAACCGCGAAGCGCGAATAACTTCGCGCCCTCGAGGGCGCCCTTGCTACATCGACCCCACCTGGGACGCCTAGATTCCCTCAGGCCCCCTCTCCTTCCCGCCAAGCGCCCTCGGCATGCGGGTCCCGCCCCCCCCGGCCGACGCGCCCGCGGCGCCGACCCCCGGCGAGGGCGCCCGGAGGGGCGGCCTCCTCTCCGAGGGGGGCTTCTGCGTTTGGGAGGGGGGCCTTCTGCGGGGTCGCCGGGCTCGGCCGGGCTCGCTCGGCGCCTCTCCTCGTCGCGGTTTGCCGAGCTCGCTTCGCGCGCAGGCGCCCTGCTGCAAGCGCCGGGGTGCAGCACTCCCGCACCCCTCACCCCTTCGTTTGCCCCAGATCCAACGAGTGCGATTCTTGATGTTCATGCCATGCTTCCGCCTCCTCACTCACTGAGTCCTTGCTGCTCCCTGTCCTTCCGCACACTCAGACTCGTACTCAGACACAGTCGAGCTCAGACCCATTCACATTCGGACTCGATCGCGCTCAGACTTATCCATACTCGGACCACTCACACTCAGACCCACTCATTCTTTAGTCTTGCTGACACGCACTACTCAACATCAGATCATGCACATTCAAACTCACCCAAACTCAAACCCAGTCGTACTCGAATTCGCTCATACTCAAACAAACCCGCTGACACTCCGACTCGCTCCACTCATACTCAGAAGCCATCTGATCGCCAAGATGTAGCCGAAACCAATTCAGACTCTTTCGTGCCCGGTCGCACGCACACTCAAACCACAGGATCACCGCGAGATGACAGGCATGACAGTTGGTAGACGTGTCTCTTTCCAGGGCTCCATGATCCTCGCGGTGCGAGCCTACCCCTCGCGCCAGCTCCCACGATGGGGTCCTACGTGGCACCGGAAGACGTCTTCTGGACTCCGCTCAGCAGGGCTCCCCCAGCGAAGCGGAGCGCAACCCAGCTTACCCACGAATATCCACAAGTGCTCCCACGGAGAAACCTAAACACATAACAACATGCCGCCCCCCTTTGGTCCCCAGTAGCAGCAGAGCTCCTCCACCAGAGCACCAGAGAACTGCTTCACTACTCCACCACGCCCCATGGAGGCTCCCAAAGCGCACCGTCTGAGGCCAATGACATCGACCACGTAGCCTGTCAAGTTTCACAATTCGACCCGCTACGCAGCTCAGCGACGCCCTGCCACCCATAAGATCCAGCGATGGCATCCACGGCGCACAGAGGTATGCAGCTGGCTCAGACTGCACCACGGCTTCCCCTCCAACCAGTCGCACCCCTCACACACTGCTGAAACATGTCGACGCCGCTTGGTTCCTCGCCGCAACGACCTGATGATTTCCGGCGCCGCCACAGGCTGCCGCCATAGCGACGAATCTGCGCCGAGGTGCCACCATCCTCCGCTGCCGCGCCCAGTACGGGAGGGGGCGGCGACTCCGCGCTGAGGTTTCAAGAAAGAAAATGGTTTGCACACGTGGCGACTCCTGTAGCTCGCCAGCAGGATGTGCTGTCTTTTCGGCGGTGAAAGAGGAGGGGAATGAGAAGGAGAAGGCCTTCTCAAAAGGCGGCCGGACTTCTTAGAAGCCCTCCAGCCTTCCGAGATGTTTTTCCTGTGCTCGGGGAAAGCTTAGAAAACTTCTTAGAAGGACGGGGGACTTCCGAGCCGTCCGAGAAGGCATGCAGCTTCTCACTTCCCCCCTCGCTCGCCGCCAATCTGTGAAGCACCCTGGAGCGGGCCTCGTTCTCCGCACCCCCAAGAGAACCGATCGGCCGCCGAGGTCGGCGGGTGACCGAAGGTCACTGCACACGCGCCGCGGCCAGGAAGACCCGACGCCACACCACTTGTCAACACGCCACTACCCCTGGCCACACGCCACTACCCTGGCCATAATCAAAATCGCACAATCTCTCGCAGGCGCTGAAGAGCCAGGGCAAGGCGTGGGGCTCCTCACTCGTCGAAAGCAAGTGTCGAGTCAGAGATCCGGGAGATCCCGTCGGCCAAGCTCGCCGAGCTGGAGAAGGAGCGTGCCATCGCTGTACTTCGGTCGTGGTAAAGAAAGGGCTTAATGACTAGATAAATGGTCCCGGATTCAGAAAACGAGACTGGTTGCTGCGTTTACGGGATGCTGCTCGGGCCTGTCTTCACTAGGTGAAACAAATCCTTCCATCGCATTGATAGAAACATCGGAGTCATCGCAATTTCCCAAACTGCGAAGGCCGCGGCAACCAGTGCGGCATCGGGTCAACCAGCCCTCTTCGGGGCGGAGGTGGGAGTCGGTGGTGGTGTCCTACGATGACGTCCCCGAGAGCAAGACGCTGAAGGAACTGATCCTCCTCAAAGACGTCCTCCCTTGGGTTCATCTTTCTTCTTTGCGCGCTCGCGCAGACCGGCCTGGTAATAAATGAGCCTTAGGCGCGGGCTGAAGCCCAGCCATTGAAATGTGCATTCGTCTGTTTGTAGACGTGAACGCGGGCGAACTGCACGCGTGAGCAAAAAAAAGGTGTGCGCTTGCAAGGTTGGTTGAATTAAGCAACGCGCAAAGGTCCATTGCGCATGTGAATGCCATGTCTGAAGAACTGCCTGCCATCGCGCTTATATGCGTCAGGGAAGGCGCGAAGCCCAGCTGACCACCAAATGCATGCGCGCAAACTCTGATTCTGATTGGCCCGCACCGATGTCAGTACTAGTGCTGCGACATGGGGCACGTCAACAGCGTCATGCGTCCTCGAAAAACAAAGGGCCATCAGCCCTGCGGAACCTGTAAAACGGCCCATGTGCTGCTGATCTGAATCGCTGCCACCTCAAAACGGAACCAGGCCTGCGAATACCCAAACCGGGTGAGAGCATACGATACATGGTGGAAGCAAGGAGAAGACCACCCATCTCAACTCCCATCTCACACGGTGAGAATGCACCCCTTCGCCTCGTCGCCAAACATCCGCTCAAATGTGACTGATGCGCAAGAGAACGCGCATTGCAATTGATCGCGCGAAAAAGATTACGTGCCACAGCGTGCCCGCTGCTGGCTACTCGGTCTTCCAGTCCTCGTAGCACATCTGCACAATCAAAATCGCTCAACCTCTCTTGCTCACCATGCACATGCAGGCTCCAGGCAGACTAGAACCCAGCACGCAGCGCGCGTGGTCGGGCGTTTACTAAAGCTGCGGCCGACGAGAGAGCCGATCGCGCGACTGGAAATGCCGTCGCGCACCAATCGGCGGAGGAGGTGGGAGGGGAGGGAGAGAAGAGGGAAAGGCAAGGAAGGGCACTTTGGCGCAAGAGACCCGGCATCAACGGTGCCGCTCCACCCGGTCGCATCGCGAAACCTCACGCAATTCCTGAATCTTGGCGTTGACGACGTCGCAGTCCCGGCAAGCACTGAAAACCTGGCACATTGCCCTGCGCTGGGAATCCCCAAGGGTAGCTGCGAAATCCCTCAGCACTGCGATCCCTAGCGCCCCCACGGAGTGAGAACGCTTCCCGACGCACTGAAGCAGAACTGCAACGACCTCGCTGAAATGCTCTGAAGCGCGAGATACTTTGAAGCGTGGCAACATACGACCCAAGGCACCAAGCAACTGCACTGCAGACTCCATCTGCAGGTCATCATCGGACAAAGCTGCTTGCTTAAGAACGTAGATCCATTTGCCATGGGCGTAAGCATGCCATTCAGAATCAGTGTACTTCCTCGTGCAGTGGCAATTTGCTGGGCAATCAGACTTAGAGTACATGGGCACTGAAGAGACGGGCCAATGCGGATCATCTTCTGGAAGGTGGTAGCGGATTCCCACAAAGACCCAAAAAACAACAGTAAATAAACTAAGAGTACACAACAAGAAAACACACAGACGTCCACGTGCTACAATCGACCTTGACGGATCGACTTGACTGATACACAGCATGCCCCGCGGGAAGTCGAGAACCAGTATGAGCAAAGTGTACACTTGATAGTTACACCGTGGTGCCATCATTATATATATATATATATATATATATATATATAGATACGTGAAATCCGATTGCGGCCCACGCCCACAGAGCTCTGAGCGGCGAACGCCCTCCCGTCACAACTCGCCACCACCAATGAGACTCACACTTTGGGCCCATGTCAAATAGAAGTATCCAAATGCTGAAAGGGCCCTCGAACAACATCGCGAGGCTCCCACGTGCTCTCATTACGCCCTGCGACTGAACAGCCATGGCGTTCAGGCAAGGCCATCTGGAAGCTCTGACTCGATGTAGCAGCCAATGTGCCAGCTCACGCCCAGACCAATAGTCGAACAACCCTGGTTGGTTAAGAGACTTTGCAATGAACGCATTGATGTACGTAAGAGCGCAAGCTGTCATGCCCAAAATTCTCACCCAACTCGAAGCGATGTCGACACCCACCACATGTGCTGCAAGCGTCCCCAAAGCAAGACCTATGTTCCCGTACAAGCAAATCAGAATGCGATGGTCACAATTCAGGTTGCGACCATGTGGCTCTGATCTCGAATGAACA